TGCCCCGCCCCAACTAACACCCTACCTATCCCATACCCTTTCTGCACCCCAGGGAGGGTGATGCCTCCTATAGGGGGTCTTCAAAGTCTGTCATATCCTTTGGGACAGGGCCTAGCCCCTCCCTTGTGTGTCTTGACTCTGGGAGTATCCCTCCACGTGGGATGGGCTCCCAAAGTTCATTCCTATGCTAGGGATAAGTACTGATCTATGACAAGGGGCCTCATAGATTTCTGAGGTCTCCTCACTGACACCCACATTCGTGGGGTCTGGATCAGTCCCATGCTGGTTTCCCAGCTATCAGTCTGAGGACCAAGAGCTCCCCCTTGTTCAGGTCATCAGCTGTTGTTTTTTAATTAGGAGAGAACTGCAGGGAGAATGGCACTCCCTCCCTGCACCCAATCTAAATCATACATAGCTGTAGCACTTCAGCCAGCTAAACTCAAGCTGGGATTAAATTTGAAACAAATATTTTGGGTTTTTTTTTTTTTTTTTTTTTTGGTTTTTTGCCAAAGAGGCTGTATAGAACTCTTTTTATATTGTTATAAAGAACTCAACTCCATATTTTTAAAAAAAACCTCTTTTTTATGTTGTTGTAAAGAATTCAACTTTGTGCATACCCTGCTACTTTGTAAATAATTATTTGCCTGCTGAAACCAGAGGCAAGAGAAAGGAAAGAAGTTGAATCTGACCCAAGTTACAGAGTTGCTTAGGGTCGTCTCCTTTCACAAATCCCCAGCAGACATTTCGGTTCCTGTTCCCATCAGCAGAATGTCCTGTGTCCACCACCCAGCTCTTACTGCTGTGAAATCCAGGCAGACGCTGTCTTACAGTGAATCACCAGCTCAACAGCCCTGTGTAAACAAGATACGTGGATGTTTTATCTTGACTCAGATTTGGTACACACAATACTGGATTTTAAATAATTGCTAATCTTTTCCTTCAAAAAAACCTTTAAATACAGGCAAAGGTGTTGAAAATTCTCATCTAACAAATTTATAGTGTTTATCTCTTATATCCAAGTTTTAGGCCCACATTGAACTTAACTTTCAAACAAATGATGTCTTTCTTAAACCCTTTTTGGTGTTTTGCTACATCTTTATGGCGGGGAGGCTTAAGAGTTTATGCAGCTTAATGAAGACACTGATTGATTCCCTTGCTGGATTCTAAGACACACAACACAGCAGAGTACATTGGGATCTACTTTAAAACACTGTTTTAGAGATGTGGTTATAGATGCTCAGCATTTTATAGTCATAAAGTTATGTTATCTCATTATTCATGGAATATTAATTAACCTTCTCTAGAGCTGGCTTGATAATCTCAAGTGTTAAGTGTTTTTCAGATTTTCTGTTGTTCTGTAGAATTGCGAGAATCATTTCAACACTCTTCATGAGTTTTTAAATTAATAACTAAACTATTTGGAGGGGTTTTTAGAACATCAATATAGTATAAAACAGCTAAGGCTTTTTTTTCCCCTGAAATTATGTTTATATTGGTTTATGTAGCTTTGGCATAGGTGGTAGTAGCCAAAGTAAGGAAAAGACTACTGTTCCAAATACTTGTCCCCACAATTATCAAAGGTATTTAGATAAATGATTATAAGCTAATGTGTTGATATCCGTACCTTTCATGTCTTGAAAGATAAATCATTCATGACTTCTGAGACTTTGACAGTGGCAGGTGAAAGTAGGTAAAAATGAACTGCAAATGAAAGTATGGCAGTACCAAAATAGTCTATATCATACAAAGAGAGAAAACTATTGCTCTGAAGTGATTATTTTTTCTCAAGCATCTTCAGTATATTCGGGTAGGTAGATTTCCATACAGACATTTTTACCCCTTAATCACTAAGATCTGTCTTTCCATTCTCAGTCAACCCTATGTAAATCCTGCATTCAATAAATAATTGCAGGTGAATGGCATCTACCTTAGTAAGTGTTCCAAATCAGAAAATCTTGGTTTCCAGTCTGTCTAGTCCAGAGCTTACTGAGAAGCTGGTCAATTGTTTACCAGTTCTAGGTAATGAACAACAGTCTGTGGCCCCTTAGATCTACAATCATGTTGTAGTAAACTCCTGTCAAGTCTGGATTTGAAGTGCTTTGGTTCAGGTTACTTCACTTTGTATAAAATCTCACTTTTTTTCTTGTTCTCTTAAAAATGAGCAAAGTCATTCCTACTTTATAGACTTGGTGTGAGGGTTGGAATGATGTGTTGCAGACACAGTATTTCACATACAAATGCTCAGACATTTACAATATTAAATTGGTTTAAAAGTGTATATTTATGTGGGTATATTAAAACATAAAACTAATTTGGGGAACTGGAACAATAACTCAGTCAATAAAATGCTTCTCATGAAAGCATGAGGACCAGACTTTGATGTCTCAAGAGTCCATATGAAAGTCAGGCAGGAAGGAGCTCATTACCTAACCTCAGTGTTGGGAGGGCAGATGGAGGGTTCCTGGGGCATGCTCACTGAATTGGAGAGCTCCAGGTACAGGGAAATACCATGTCTCAAAACTTAAAAGCGATCAGTTAAGGAAGATGCCAGTTTGACCTCTGACCTCCATACAGACACACATGTATGTGCACTCTCACAAACACATTAACATGTATATGTATATACATACATAAAATAGTAAATTTTGAACTCTTCATGTTCATTTTACTTAAACCAATATGCTCATTTTTCACATATGGAATTCATCATTTTACAAATTAATTTGTTGTAAGATTTCTTCTCTAGTGAATTAAAAGACTTATTAAATTTGCCAAAATTGAATTTCCATGATTTTCAGGAATGTGCCCATAATTTGGATAGCATGACATGTTTTATAACTTGTATTTATGTTTACATAACAGCTCATTGTGAACAAATCTTAAAGTTAAACTTAGCATTGATGCCATTAAAACTAAGTTTCTCCCAGGGATACAGGCTATAAGCTTGGCACGGGGAAGACTGAGACAAGACACTGACAGTTGAGGCTAGCCTGGGAAGACTGAGACAAGACACTGACAGTTAAGGCTAGCCTGGACTGTACTGAAAGTTTGAAGCCAACCTGAGCTCCACAGTGAGACCATATCTCAAAAAATGAAACCAAAACCAGAAATTAACTTATGAATGTTTTGTTTCCAGATGATGGTTTTAAAAGTGAGTGTTCTGAGGTTGGATAGATGGCCCTGTGGTTAAAAGCATGTGCCCCTCTTACAGAGGACCCAGGTTTGTTTTCAGCACCTCTATTAGGTGACTCACAACTGCCTGTAACTCCAGCTCCAGGAGACCTGACGCCCTCCTCTGGCCTCCATGGTTACCTACACTCATGTGCACATACTCACAGACACATACACATAATTTAAAATATACTTTATCTTTAATAAAAAATAAAACAAGTAGTATATAGCTGTACACTTTGCATCAGTTATAAGAAAAGGGTGTGATAGTATAATAAAATGTAACATATGAGTTAAATACTATTGAAGTACTGTTTCACTCAAGTACCACTCTTATGGATCTAAGTTATCAGAACAATTGCTGTATCCAAAAGTAGTTTCTTCTATTATGTCCTCTGGTATTGTTGCTCCAACATCTATTCTGGCTTTTATTAACATTCCCAAGATTGAAGATGGGGTATTATACATCTTCATCCCAGCTTGCAAAGGTGAAAGAGACAAAAATAAGTAAAACAGAAAAAAGCTTTTATTTAAATTTCAGATGAGAGATTCAGGTGCAGTAATATATCCTGCCATTCCAGCTATTTGGGCTGAGGCAGGAAGCTGCCATGAACTTGTTTGAGACCTCCGTAGGCAGCACTGATAGAACCTGCTTAAAACAACCAAGTGTCCTATGCTCAATATTTTACTCCCAATTGTTGACAGAATGGCCTTGGGGCATTACGGCTCTGCTTTTAATACAGATTTTTATATTTTCCCAGGTAGCAAACAAAATGTTGCCTTGGCCATGGAGTAAACTGACTAACCCTCTGGAATGTATAACAAAATGTGATAATGTTTAGAATCAAGGCATTCAGTAAATGCTCTTATGGATTGTACATCTTATGCTAACTTTTATTTGTGAAAGTACATATGTGTGTCGATGGATGGTTGTATATTGCATGCATTTGTATGGGTGCATATGTGTACAGGTTTGCATGCACATGGGGTCCAGAGCTGACATCAGGTCTTTTCCTCAGTCACTGTCCACTTATTTGTTGGGGCAGGGTCTCTCGATGGAGCCATTGCTCACTGATTCAGCTGGTCCTACCATCCACCTTGCTCTTGAAATCCAGTGTCTACTGCCCAAGTGATGTGGGTGCTGGGGAGGCAAACACCAGTCCGCACATTGGAGTGGCAGGTGCTTTATCCTCCGAACCATCTACCTAGGGCCAGATGGATAACTTAATTATATAAATTAATTAGGGCGTGATGTGCTTTGTTCTGGCTTATGTTGAGTTTTGATAGTAGATGTTTCATTTTGCTTCTTTAGAACTCTTTTTTTTTTCTTTTAATTCTTTCTAAAATGAATTGTTCATCTTCCTATTTCACCCCTCCCTTTACTTTTTCAAATTTGAAAAGTTTGAATTTGGATCAAATTATATTTGCTTATTTGCCTAAATAGTCTGCACAGGTCGATCCTGTGTGAGGCTATCTTAGACTAGTTTTTATTCTTCCTCTTGCTTTCTATGGAAAATTCATTTGCAAGTAGTTATTAAGCTGCTGGTACATTCCAGGTCCTGTTCTGGGTCCTGGGAATGAAAGACTGGCCTGGGTTGAGTTTGTATTGTGGTTTATTGCTCTGGTGACAAAATTAAGAAAGCTGAAGGTTGACATTTCTACAAGTGCATATATAGAAACTATGATACATTCTAGTAACATACTGTTCTCATTCTACTCTTGGGAAAACAATGGGAAATGAGAAATGTTTAAATCATGCGTTTTGTAACTTTCAAATCTTTTCACCATGTTAATCAAATACTCTATTCTGTATCTCTAACTTTTTCTAGAAACTGGCAGACCTTTCTCTTCGTATTCAACAAATTGAAACAACTCTCAATATTTTGGATGCAAAGGTTTGTATTTCTAAATAGAGGATAAACTTTGTTGTATATAGACCATCTTTCTCAGTCATATTTAGAATGTATTTGAGAGTAGAATAAATCTAACCCATGTATCTGTGAAGTGATACAGTGTTGTACATTTAAAATTATAATGTATTAAAATTTCAAGGCCAATGAATGGTGTTCATTATAAATATTAATTTAGTCATTTCAAATGAACTCATAGATTGAGAGTTCTATTATGTGAATTAAAAGTACAATATAAATGTCATGTTAGCAAATTAAGCTGTTACATGGTTCACATTATTTAATAGAAACTCAAAATTATTTTATTTTAATGGTTACAATGTAGAAATAATGCCACAATAATATAATAGAATAAAACTGAAGTGTCTCCCGAACAAGATTTATAAACATTATCTGATATTTTCATTTGTAAATATCTTGAAAGTTAATGAAGAATACCAGTTTGAAATCAGAAATTGCCAAGAAGTTGGGTACAGTAGTCCATATCGATAATCCCAGTACTCAGGAGGCTGATGCAGGAGGATAATGAGTTTGATGCCAACATCAACGGTCTCTATACAGAAAGAGACTGTCTCTTTTAAAAAGAAAATGAAAGAAACAAAGCAACAAACAAAAGGTCCCATATTACCTGGGAAAAATTTTTATTTGAAGCCTAGAGATTTTTGTAAATGACACATTTAATTTATTTTAATTTGTAATGTTGTACATTTTTTTTCCTGTTTATGAGGTGAAGGAGAAATACTATGTTGCTTTTTTTCTTAAATTCTGCTGTATTTTTGTGATTTTTATCCTCCCCACCATGATACTCCATAAAAGAGTTCAGTGTCTGTGTCTGTGTGTCTACATTGTTCAAAAGTCAATTTAACTTTTTTAGTTGATCAAAATATTTACTACACATTTAAGTGGAAAATTTTGTGTTCACATTAGAATAAGGAAGTAAAGGTGTGGTTGTACTTTCTCTGCCCTTTATGAACTTCAACAAGTATGTTGCCTGAGAATGTTTCTCTGGCATAGAAATTTAGAATACATGGCCTTGAATATGCTAGGGATATTCTAGCAGTCACAACTACACTCTTGTGACTTTGGGGCCACTGCCACTTTGCAAAGCACTGTCTTCAGTCAACACTACTCAGTGACTTCTGTGCTTGAGACTCTGTCATCAGTGGTTTCTCATACCTTTTCTTAGAACTGTGTCTTATTTGATGGTTGGGGAATTTTAAGGTGCTGCCATGCAAGAACAACAGTTACATTTCCATATGGACAAGTTAACCTTAGTATTTTCCCAGCTGTGGTATAATCTCCACAGCCAGCAAACATCTGATAGACATATCACATATTACCAGGTAAAATCAGGAAGGATTTTTGTAAATCTAACCACAGATGCTTATCTTTTTTGTTTTAAAATGCTACCATTCTAGTCCGGAATGTTGATAACATGCCCATTTGTTGTGAATAAAAAAGCACATTTTAGTAACATTCAAGGATAAACTTTTACAGAGAGAAAAACGTGCTGTGTCATATATTAAAATGTAAAGACATATCTCATATAATTAAACTTACAATGTGCTCGAGAGCTGGATAGAAGACTCAGTGAAGTGCTTGCTGTACAACATTGAAGACCTGAGTTGAGACAGGAGAAAGGAGGATCCAGCTAATCCAGCCAGCTGGAGTGCTCCAGGCTCCAGAGTTAGTGAGAGACCTTTCCTCAGAGGATGGTGAAGGACAGTGAGGAAGATTCCAGCACATGTACAGGCACATACACACACACATCACATGCACACACATGTATACATACATGCTTGCTAACCTCCACACAGCTACACACACACACACACACACACACACACACACACACACACACCACTTACATCACACAAGCACATACACTGTGTGCTACAGAGTACTCTTCTTTAGCAAGTCATTTTTAATAAAAATGTTTCAAAAGTGATTTCATAAGGAAAATTTCCTCATCCTTGTTACAGGCAATAAAAATGGAGGTATAAGGAAGGTGGGGCAGAGGCAGTCAGACTTCAAAACCATACCCTCAATTCTTGCACTAAAATACTCTGTAACCTTAATGATTATTTAGAGGAAAAGAAGGGTTATCAACTAAATTATACAAAAGTATTGTGAATGTTTTTCACTTTGAGTTTATGACATGGAGATTAAAGATGAAAAATCTGAACCTATATAATTTTATAGGTTTAAGGGAGCTAAGTAAAAACCCACAGGTAAAAAGCGTTTTGTGTTCACTGAAATGATCTTCATATCCCAACACTAATTTACATTTCTCAGCTGTCATCTATCCCAGGCCTAGAGGATGTCACAGTTGAAGTGTCTCCTCTAAGTGTCACTGCTGTCCCAAATGAATCACATTCTGAAAGCACTGCAGAGCAGCCACAGGTAAGAGTCTGATTACAGGAAACATCTTGGTTAGGCTGGCTAGCCCTGTGCCTAGACCTTGGAAGATTCTGAGTGTGAGGCTCTTAGTAGTCAAATTATAAAACCTGAAGCTACAGAAAACATCCGAAGGAAAAGGAGGTAGCTATTTTGTTTTGTAATTTTACTAAAACTTTATTGTGTGTGTGTGTGTGTGTGTGTGTGTGTGTGTGTGTGTGTGTAAAACACCAGAGTTAACAAGACCCAAAGTCTGTATATTTCAATGAACTGCAAAGTATAATTTGGATGTTGACTTGTTGGAACCAACATCCTAATTAGAGCCACTACATAGTATACGTGGCGTTTATGCCATAATGTTCCTCTATGCTCCTGTACATTGAAAGCTTTTTACTATTTATTTTAAAATCTCTTATTATATACACATCTCAGTGAGGTATTAAAATTCGAAATAAAACAATCACCAAAATACTGGTGACCCACTAAAGTAATATTAACAAAGTAGACATCATTTGTAAGCAACTATTGCATTTGTACCTAGAAGTATTCTCACACCATATTTTTAGGTCATAATGATGTTGCTAGTAAAGTTAGTAGCTGAAAAAGAAAGCTTGCTGTGTGTCAATACATGCATACTTCTAAGTGTTTTTTATAATTGAATACATTTAATCCTCAGAAAAGTCGTATCATGCAAATAGAGTTAGTTGGTCTTCAGTGCCTGATTCTGTATCTCGAGATTCACCTAGACACACATTAAGAGTATTCAGATAAAGAATTTACATCTAGGCTGGGCAGTGGTAGCACATGCCTTTAATCCCAGCAGTCGGGAGGCATAGATAAATGGATCTCTGTGAGTTCGAGGCCAGCCTTGTCTATAGAGTGAGTTCCAGGACAGGTGCCAAAGCTACAGAGAAACCCTGTCTCAAAAAACAAAAAAAAAAAAAAAAAAAAAAAAAAAAAAAAAAAAAGTGACTATTTACATTATAAAAGGTATTGTAAGTAATCTAGAGATGGCCTAAAATACACTATGGGGTAAGAGTAAGTTAAATTCAGACACAATGCTACTATACATAAGAGACTCCTAGCAGATGCAGATTTCAATATTCTTGGGGTCCTAAAACCAGGCTCCCTGCAGATTCCCAAATACTTATTCCTATTAATCAGACCTGAATTTCTGATTTTCAGATTCAGCAACACCTTTACAAATATGACAATTTTTTAATTGTAAATCAATTCATTTAGAGTATTTGGAAGTTCTGTAGCCTTTCTGCATTTATAGAACTGTGGTGGGTTTTGGTTGATCAACCAGATAAAATGACTCTTGAGCATGTTAACATTGACATCAACTTCTCATTTGTTCTTCATTGACATTAACTAGTATAAAAAAGTACTTTGAAAGGTGCTTAAATATTGCCTTTTGCAGATTTTCATGGTTATTATAGTCAACTCAGCTATCCTAGTACATGGGAGGTGGAGGCAGAAGGCTCAGGAGCTCAAGGTCATCCTTGGCTTTGTAGTGAATTGTAAACCAATCTAGGCTACACCAGACCCTGCCTCAACAAAAAACCATAACAAAGCCATCCCTTTATTACTGTTTCTAAGCTATGAGTCTAAATCCTGAGATTTCTCTACTGACTTTCATGAAGCTTTAGCTTCAGGGGTCAGGTCTTATCATTGCTCACAGGAGAGTATCCAGTTATTCAGATTGAGGTCAATTTGAGAATGAAATGACAGGCAGTTGAGAGAAGGATTGTGAGACTTAATGGACCATTCATATAGTAGAAGTATGATAGTGCATAATTAAACCTGTGAGGCCTTGATGGGCAGGCACAAGGTCAAAGCTGAAAGTTGAAAACTATTAGACTGGGATGTAGTTCTTATTGCTACACAGGGTTTTGGGTGAGCTATGAGTACAGACTTAAAAATATACTTGAATCTTTTTTCTTTTTATGTTTAGCAGTGTTTTTGGACTTCTGTGTTTAAGTGTTTGTAGATGAATATATATATATATATATATATATATATATATATATTTATACATATTCCAAAAGTTTTGTAACATTTAGCAATATCGCATAGTGGAAGAAACTAATTTGTACTTGTTTTATTGCTTCAGAGTTCCTTTTTTAAAGATTTGGATTACATATAAATTATATTAGAAAACTTCAGTATGTAAACATAATTTATGTTCATTTTCTAAAGACTAAAGATTTTTGTTTTGTTTCTTTTTTTTCTTTTCTTTTTTTTTTTAAGACAGGGTTTCCCTGTGTAGCCCTGGTTGTCCTAGAACTCTCTGTATAGACCAGGCTGGCCTTGATCTCAGAGCTCCACCTACCTCTGCCTCCTGAGTGCTGGGATTAAAGGCGGTGCTAATACCACCTGACTAAGACTGAAGATTTTAAAAACAGTAATTTGTCCACATTTTAGCATAGATACATTGACATAAGACTAATGACATCTGCAGAAGAAATTCCTTGTAGCAGTTATGCCAATGCTGACTGAAAGTCACAAAAATAAGTTTATTCTGAGTGTTCAGATTCATAAGGAAGCCAAGTGCTGTGTGCCAGTGAGTCTTCACAGTGCACTTAGCAGGGCTTCCCTGTCCCCGAGCTTCTGGTAACACAGCACAGTGCAGCATCACAAGTGCCATTACTTAAAAACACCATTCCGAGCCAGGCGTTGGTGGTGCACGCCTTTAATCCACAGCACTCGGGAAGCAGAGGCAGGTGGATCTCTGTGAGTTCGAGACCAGCCTGATCTACAAGAGCTAGTTCCAGGACAGCCCCCAAAGCTACAGAGAAACCCTGTCTCGAAAAACCAATAAATAAATAAATAAATAAATAAAACAACTATTCCTCAGTACTTGTCACTGAAACTAGTATTTAGTATTTTAGCCACTCTATGGGCTTTGTGACCATTAATGACTACTCATCAACATATAACATGTACATAGCCAAAGAATCTGGTTTTCCCCAAGAAATCTCTGAGCATTACTTTCTAAAAACTTAGAATCACAGGTCCATTTAGGATATAATGGCTTAATAAATGAGGGGACAATAGGACAGATGGCAGATACCTAGAAAAGTAACTCACTGTCCATTAGGTGAGCAGTTGGGAAATCAAAAATTTTTACTAGATTCCTGATGTAGCCACCCATCATGTTTCATGGGATAAATAAAGGAAAACTGAAAGTTCTGATGCCAAGAATACATTTGCATTTTAAGGAACAATGTATTATTGATGATATAAATTTAGCTTGTAAGAATTTATAGGTATGGAGAGACATATTAGCCATAATTAAATTATTTGTATTTAAATATAAAAATACAATTTTTAAAAATATTTATTGCCTTATAATTATAAAAATAAACATCCCTTTTCTGTGAATTGTTTAAAAATTTCCATAAACTCTCTACAGCAGGACAATACACAAGACTCTGGACCACAGGAAAGTGAAGCTTCATCAGAAAATGTCTTAACTGTAGCCAAGGACCCAAGATATGCCAGATATCTCAAGATGGTTCAAGTGGTAAGCTGATTTGGTCTGTGTTTTCTGTTTAACCCTGGAGAATTCCCTGTTGTTTTTCAATCTGAGAAAACTGCTAACCTGAATGACCAAGTTTTCTAGTCTCTTGCTTCTCTCCTACTTAATAATGCATTCATAAGAAGAAACCAGAAGTCCAATCTTTCCCATTAAAATTGATTACACAGGGCTGGGGAGATGGTTCAGTGGTTTAAGAGCACCAACTGTTCTTCCAGAGGACCCAGGTTCAATTCCCAACACCCACATGGTAGCTCACAACTGTCTGTAACTCCAGTTCCAGTGGACCCAACACCCTCATACAGACATACATACGGGCAAAGCACTAATGCTCATAAAATAAAAATAAATAAATTAAAAGGTTTAAAATCAATTACACTTCAAGTTAACACAGGTTAACAGTTTAGTGTAGATTTGTGCCATTATTATTATTATTTTATTTGAAATCTTGGCTGTGTCATAAAAAAAATAAAAGAGGGCTGCTCCTTTGGTAAATCATTACTTGAGTTGGATTTTCTTATGCTAGTGTAAATATGGTTTTAAAATGTTTTCTATATTGATGCTCATTTAATCAGTGATTTGGTTTATAAAAAAATACAGCTCTCTTGATACATAAGATAATAATTTTAATATTATACACCTTTATGTTTTTCTAAGAAATTATACATGGTCTGTTGAAAAAATGTTGGTGGTTGTCTATAGCAGCAGAAGTAAATTTACTCCCATACCTAAAGAAAGCCCTACTGCAAGTAATTGAAAGAACCAACAGAGTGTTATTTTTCTGGTAATCAAAAAATTATCCAGGCAGTGGTGGCACACACCTTTAGTCCCATCACTCGGGAAGCAGAGGCAGGTAGATCTAAGTTCGAAACCAGCCTAGTCTACAGTGAGTTCTAGAACAGCCAGGGCTATGCAGAGAAACCCTGTCTTGAAAAACCAAAACAGCAACAACAACAAAAATTAATGGGGAGAGAGAAATTAATGTTTTTATAATATTTTGTTATCAGGAGCAAAAAAAAAAAAAAAAGTACTATAGCCTAAAGAATAGGTTTGTTTCACAGTCAGTGGCATTGTTTACCACCAATAAGACTTCAGGGCAAATACTGCTATCTGACACCAGAAAGCAGATTGGGTACATTAGGTCTACAGAAGTGTTAATGGAAGGATAGCCTGTTCTCTCTTCTGTATCAGAAGCAGATCTGTTGCTTTAGAATGGTCCATTGACAGTCAATGTCCTCCTGGCCTCTAGGTTTCAGGTATAAGGTAGACTTTGAGATAGGAATGTATAAACATTTAGGCATTATAACATTGACTTTTTTTTTTCTACAGTCCTTTGGTTCTATCCTAGGTCTCTGGGCCATCCAGCCTCTGGGTCCTTGTGTTCCAGGCAGTGTCAGGGGTGGGCTCACTCTCATGGTTTGGGTCTCATGCTGGACCAGTAATTGGTTGGCCACTCCCTTAATCTTCTTACTCCGGCACATCCCATAGGCAGGACAGACTTTAGGTTACAATTATTGTGGCTAGGTTGGTGTCCTAATCCCTTTAGTGGAAGTCTTACCTGGTCACAGGAGACAGCTAGTTCAGGCTACATATCTGCTATTGCTAGGAGTCTTAGCTGGGGTCATTCTGATAGATTCCTGGGAATTTTCCTTGTACCAGTTTTCTGGTACCAGTTTAGCCCCATCTGCTGTATTCATAGATTGGTGCCTAGCCCAATTGTCATCAGAGAGGTCTCATCCAGCAACTGGTGGAAACAGATGCAGAGACCTCCCAGCCAAATGTTAGGCAGAGCTTGGGAATCCTACAAAAGAGAGAGGGTGGATTATAGTAGCCTGGGGGGGGGGGTCAAGGACATCACAAGAAAACCCATAGAAACAACTAACCTGGGCTCACAGGGGCTCACAGAGTCTGAATTAACAACCAGAGACCTAGGCATTCTGCATATATGGGACAGTTGTGTAGCTTGGCTTTCCTGTGGGACTCCTAACAGTCAAAGCAGGAGCTGTCTTTTGCTGGCTTTGGGGACCCTACTCTTCATATTGGGTTGCCTTGCTCAGCCTTAATATATGGGGAGAGGCTTAGTCTTTTTGCACCTTGTTATGCTATGTTTTATTGATATTAGAGGCCTGCCCTTTTCTGAACAGAAATAGAGGAGGAGTGGTTTGGAGAGGGCAGAGGGGAGGCCATGGCAGGGGGAGAACTGGGAGAAGAGGGAGGGGAAACTGCAGTAGGGATGTAAAATAAATTAAAAAACACTATAACAGTTATGAGAAATAACAAATATGAGAACACTTTGTAGTAATAAACTTTTCTGAATTAAAAAAAAGAATAAAAGTTTTTAATATGAATAAGGAAAGGTTCATCTTGAATGTGAATAATAATGAACCCAGGAAAGATTACACTTGAAAGATAAAATCTTAAGAACTATGTGACTCTCCAAATAAGAAAGAAAAGCCTTCAGAATGACACATAAAAGCTTTTTATGTCAGTGTCTTCTGACCTAACCCAACATAAGAAATGAGAAAATGGACTTGAGTTTTCTGAAACCTCTCATTTAGGACTAGATAGCAGTCCTGTGTCCATGGTGCCACTTTCCACAATTGCAGTTCATCAGTCAACTGCTATCTGGAAACATGAAATGGAAGTTTTCATAAATAAACTGTTCATGCATTTTAAGTCATTTGCTGTTCTGATGCTTTCTCCCTGGAGAGTGACTCTTCCCCTGTCCATTGCATCCTGACTGTGTACATGAGCTGTATATCCTACTAGTCATCACAGTTATCAGACAGACTGCTGCACCACTGCAGACATGGAGGTAGGACCAGTCCTCTCAGGTACCTGCCTGGCAAGTCTCAGAGCTCCTGCAGACAAGGTGTGGAGATTTGTTACAGATATTTAACATATTCCACTTATGTTATAGATATTTACTAAACACTTAAGAGATTACATTAGCTAGTCAGCTAGTATTCCCAAAAGCTACTTTCAATTTTGATTTTTGTTATTAATTACTTAAAATAAGTTCATTTGCTCTCTCTCTCTCTCTCTCTCTCTCTCTCTCTCTCTCTCT